GATGAGAAGAAGAGCAAGGGGGATGGGAATGAGATTGCAGAGCTAGAAGGATCTTGATAAGTTTGTCGGATTTGTCGCAATTTCGGATGGGTCTGTTGGATCCTCATTCCTCGTGTCACGGCGTTGTGGGTGTCTTTGTTCTGTTCTGTCGATATCCATGCTTGTGCGGTGCCCCGCCAGGAAAACGAGCGATTCGTTATTCCACCTCTACTCCAGGTTTTGGCTGGAAGTTGTTTCATCGTCTCTTAGGTCACTCCCACACCCTTGCCGGCCAACTATTACCTCTGGACCTTTCCTACTTTATTATCCCTGTCATATACCCCTGGGTTTTTACCGAATTACTTTTCAAGTCCCGAAAATACCCCCATTGACTATTTGAAAAGAAAAGGAAACAAGAGGAAAAAGAAGAGAAATGGAAAACTCAAGACCATTCTCCGATATCAAAGATCGTTGAAAGATTTAGATTTGATTCCATCCCAATTTCCCACCTCTCCCGCTTTTTTGACGCATAGTGTTTATCGAGTTCCCGTTTACTCTCTTCGTATTTGGTGTTAATGATTGTCACTCTTCGGACATTGCCATTGCAGAGTATTGTATTCCATTTACTGGCTTTATTTTATGCTCCCCTAGTGGAGATTGCATCGGATTAGACTTGTCTATTTGATATTTGTGCTTTTGTCGAATAAAATTAGGTGATGTCAAGTGAGCATAGATTTGGACATAGGGATAACTCCCACAATTCTTCTTATTCCCTCTCGTCGTGCTTTTGCCTCTTATACTTCCTAGGTAACTAATAAAGTGTTCTGTAAAAGTGAAGTATGGACAAAAGGAGAAAAAAAGGAATTGAAAGAGATTGCAGACGGTGTATACAGTGGAGATAAGAATTCGGATAGCTAGCGGTCGCATAACTGCGATTTTCCTCTCCAAATAATTGCGGGTGGGGCCGCTTCTGCACATTTCATTCATGTTTTTTTATTTCACTTACCAAGTATGTCTACATTTTGAAGTCTAGACTGCAGTGTGCCGTGTTCTGCTGTGTACCTAGTTAGTTAGATGATGCAACACCGTATATGCAGTGGAAGAAATGAAAAGAAACAAATAGGCAAAAGTGGCAGAAGATCCGCAATCCAATCTAACTATTTTCGTTTTTACATCCTTCAGCCAAAACCAACGGCTCCATAATGATCCTTTTTGCGGGGCGCATAGGGTACACTTTTTATCTCCCATCAATCATCAAATGCAGATCTATGCCGAGTTTAAACCTTGGGGCTGTCCTGATATTCAACCTAAATACAGGACACTGGAGTGGATCAAACGCTGGAACAAATAGCTCAGACACCTAAACAACCCGTCAGACTGTGCTGGCGGGCCTGACAGGCCTTTTTAATTTTGATATCGTTACATTGCACCACTTCTAGATGAATTGAACAACGATCACTCGCCACTGGTCTCTTGTTTCCTTCCCTTCCCTTTTTCTCTTTATCTTCCCTTGCCCTTCCGCTTGGTATTATCGGAATCACATCGATGACAATGCTGAGGATATCGGTGCCTCGCTAAACGTATTCTATCAGTTTGCTTCAGTGTTGGCTAGTGTAACAACCTAGGAAGAAGCAATGTGTTTGTCCCTTGCCGGGCTCCCGGCTTCAGACGGCAGAAAAATATGCTTGTGCACCATAATAAGGGGACGGATAGGGATAGGATAACTGGATAAGGTCAGGGATGGAATCCTGCAATGATATCTTGTTCCGTCGCACTAGGAATACGCTGTCTAACCCAATGCCGACTCTCTACCGCCGGTGGAGACAAAAAGAGGGGAAATAGAGGAACGAACAGACTATATCTCCCTTCAGAAAGAATTCGTCCCGATCCAGGACTCAGCGGTTCACTTGTAGACATGATTAACCACTGGAATTACCAGGACTTTGCTTATATCAAATGTGACGATTATGATCTGCAAACAGCTGATGGCTCACGCCAATCCCGCATGGCATCCCAGCCGTTATTTCTTTTTCTTGTTGTAAGTTTCGCGCCTTCATCCTCCTTTTAGATTCGGTTTGTGCTTCCCAGCGAAGTTCCCGGAACCAAGTGCTGTCGATCGTCTGACTGTTGAAGCCGAGGCTGCTGAGCCGATGGAACGTCGTGGCTTGGCAGGATGAAGCGCAATTGAACTTGTTTTTGGGCCTTTGTTCCAAAGGTTGCGAGGGCATGGTTATGGAAGACTTCTGCTGCCGACGGAACAGCGTTTCCTGGAGTGACTCTGTACACAATGCCCAGACTCGCCTCTGCGATTGGAAAGTGAATCCTTCAACAGGGGACGTCCGATGCTGGGCTTCTGCTGCTTTTAGCCGCTGGCTGCATATCGTTATTATACCTAACCTGATATCCACTCGTGGCATCTGACGCTGGACCCGGTTTCCCCAGACCGCAGCCAAGGATCGTCAATGTGGTAGCGACCTGGGTGTCAAGGTTAAAATGATTTTCATTACACGTTATCTCAAATTTTTCTCGGGAATCGCGTTACAACAGGAACCAGCCCTCCATTTTGGTCCCGGTCATGCGCAATACTGGGTCATCTCCACCTCTAGTTCCCATGATATCATATCATCTCCCGGAAAATCATGCAATTGATTTCCCTGAAGCCCGCTTAAAAAAATCACATGAACCATACCTAATTACCCAGATGGTTTATGTCCAGTACATCTACACTACCAGCTGCCCTTGGTTTCTGGTGCTAATGCCGTGCAAGGGATGGGTTATCGTATGATAGAGCGAGTGGAGGCATATCTCACTCTCTCACCAGATCAGGCACCATCAACGATGCAGAGCTTTTGGTTGTATCCAGAGCGTCACGGACTGCGGCTGTCCCCGCATCCCGACTGTTGCGAAACACCAAAACATATATAAAACTCTCGGAATATCGCCCTTTCCCTCTTTCCCCCCCGTTCCTTCTTCTGGTTGGACAGAAAGGGTTGGTGTTTTGAGATTTCTCTCTCTTTTTCTCTCTCTTTTTCTCTCTCTTTCTCTCTCTCTTTCTCCCCCCCCCCTTTGTTTTCTTCTCCTTCTATATTGAAACTCTCAAGCGCAAGCTGGAGATTCAATCCGCTGGCCTTGCACAAAATGAAGGTCCAACTACTTGTCCTCGGGGCTGCCCTGGGAGGCAATCTGGTTTGCGCAGGGGTTCCTGCTGTCAAAAAAGTCCGTGACCAAGAAATCGCTGGAGGCCGTGGTGGTCCCGGCGTCGGCAACGCTAAGCTTTCGACAGTAGGTGACAAGGCGACGTTATGCGTCGTATGTGCATTGCAAGGGGTTAAATGCTAACGTCCCCCTGTTTCGAATATAGAAAGCATTAGTGAGGGGCATTGAACTAGAAGAGCTCATGAGAGGAGCGCGAAAACTCCAATCCATCGCATACGCAACTCCTGAGCGGAACCGTGTCTTCGGAAGCAAAGCCCACAATGCCACTGTCGACTGGCTCGTCCAGGAGCTTGAGGAATCTCGGTACTATGATGTGGTCAAGCAGAAACAGGTTCACTTGTGGTCCCGATCCGAAGCTACCTTGACAGTCAATGGAGAGTCGAAGGAAGCTTCTCCGATGACATACAGTCCGTCAGGGAATACGGAGCAGGATATTGTCCTGGTAAATAACCTTGGATGTGCGCTCGTAAGTGACATTCCGATATTAATTTTAGCAAGTAAAACGTTATTTCAGAACCAACGCATATAAAATTGCAGGAGGATTTCCCAGCTGGGGTAGCCGGCAAAATCGCTCTCATTGTCCGTGGCACATGTCCCTTCGGTCTCAAGGCTGCCCACGCTGGCGCAGCTAAAGCTGTCGGCGCTCTCATTTACAACAACATCCCTGGCCCCCTTTCAGGAACCTTGGGTGACCCGGTCAACCCTGCTGGCCCCTATCCCCCAACTGTCGGGCTTTCCAAGGAACTCGGAGACGACCTGGCTACCAGAGTGGTATCCGAGAAGCTGACCGCCAAGCTGTTCACTAAATCGGAGTTCCAGAACCGCACGACGTAAGTACTCTAGATGTTAAAGGTAATAATAACCATTGAGTGGTTAAATTAACGTTTCGTATGCACGTAGGTTCAATATCATTGCGACATCAAAACAGGGGAATAAAAACAACGTCATTGCTGTTGGAGGTCACTCAGACTCAGTTGAAGCTGGTAAGAACATGTCGTACATACCTGGACATTTTCATCCCCACCCACAAGCACAAAGAAACACCATTAAAGATTACTCTGACCAAATCCAACCTCCAGGCCCAGGCATCAACGACGACGGCTCAGGCATCGTCGGCAATCTCGCCGTCGCCAAAGCACTCACAAAATTCAAGGTCCCCAACGCCGTCCGGTTCCTCTTCTGGACCGCAGAAGAATACGGTCTCCTCGGCTCTCAATACTACGTTGACAGCCTCTCCGCAGAGGAGCGTGAGAAAATCCGTCTGTACCTGAACATGGACATGACCGCCTCACCCAACTATGCCACGAAGATCTACGATGGCGACGGATCCAGCTTCAATCTCACCGGCCCCGCCGGCAGCGCAGAGATCGAGAAACTCCTGCAAAAATTCTACGAGGATCGCGAGGAAAATCATGTCCCATCTGAGTTTGACGGACGATCCGATTACGACGCGTTTATCTCCGTTGGCATCCCCGCTGGAGGTGTCTTCACGGGTGCTGAAGGCATCAAATCTGAGCAGGAGGCAGAGTGGTTTGGAGGTACTGCTGGTGAAGCTTATGATCCCAACTATCATGGTGTTGGCGATACTGTGGACAACCTCAGTAAGAAGGCGTGGTTGATGAACACGCAAGCGACTGCGTATGTTGTTGCTACCTATGCGCTCAGCACGAATGGGCTGCCTCCTAAGGATCCTCCCTCTTCGGCTGAGATGCAGACACTCTCCCAGCGCTTTGTCTCAAGCACGAAACCGTTTAATGGCCGGTGCGATGACCCACATGGACAAGGAAGGAGGTGTACTTATTAAGTTGTTCCCTTGCTCTCTTTCGTCTGTTTTGTAAATTGTTGATGGTTGGTGATATGTATATGCATGATAGTATGCACGAGATGCGTTGGATGATGGGACGAACATATATGGAAAATGCCTATGTTGAAGTTAGGTAGATATGAATAACAAACAAATTTGGTAAAATCGATATGAACATGGGGATGAGTTTGTAATGATGCATGGTCTATGTGAATCAAGAAATGAAGAGAATTAAAAAAAGTGGAGGGTGGAAAATGGGAGGATATTTTCTTCCGTGCCTTAGTTAACTCGGTTTATTAAGTACTGAAATATGTTTAGTGTTTTGAAACAGAGGATGTGTATAAAACCAAACGCCAAATTGCCACGAATTCACATGATCTTAAGGTGAATACTTCGATCCTGTATTGCACTATCCATGGTTTCATGAATTTATGGAGACGACGAATACAGCTGCTGGGAGTTGAGGGCCAGGTATTGAATACCCTTAAGGCGAGTAAAGTCACGTGAACTCGTGGCAATTTGGCGAGTCGTTTTAACTTCTTTTTGATCAAAAAGTAGATGGGTTTCAATAATCGGGAGCGACTTCGAGTCCTTCGAAGGTTTGTTGTCTCCAGGATTTCCTTTCTCCTCCCTCACGAAGTCTTAAAACAAAAAGAAAAAGATATTAAGATATTTGCATGTCACGTGACTTCGCAATGCCTGGAGCTGATAAATGGCCTACCCGCACCGTCTGGACACACACTGGGCGGACACTCTCCTCCGTAAGCTGCATCAAGAACCTGGGCTTACCAGAAGACCCAAAACAAAACAAAAGACACTCATCTAAAATAAACGCCGATAGCATGCATATATGGTAGTCTAAGTCGCTGGATAATAGAACAAGAGATGACGCAACTGGCACTGCGGGTAAGGGGTAAGTAAGTACCTAGGTAGGGGGTAGAGGGGGGTATCGAACGAAGTAAAAGCAACTCTTATCACCCATGCAGAGGACTTGCAACAGGAGCATTCTCCACAGTAGGTGGGTGGGTAGCAGCCATATCCATGACAACAGCAGCATCGGGAGTATTCAAATTTGCATCCAGCACAACAGGAGAGCTTCTCGACTTCGTAACCCCTCTATTCCTCCCCATTCTACCATGGTCAGCACAGTCAACGCTGCCAGCACCGCCACCAATTCCCGCCGCCTTGGCACTCTCATTCGTCAATATCGCTTTCTTTACCGGGGGAATCCTATTCGTAGTTTTCCTCTTCCCGCTGCTGACATCAGCACCATCTTCCCCCTTCTCATCACCCGGTATCCTCCCAATAATCTCATCAACAATCTTCGCCCTCTCAACCAACTCCTCAAACCCAAGCACCCGACAACAATCCTGATACGACTTCGACATCTTCGCCGCATTAAACATCTTCTCCTTGCCCGGTATAAGCATGTTGAGCAAATACTTCGTATTCCCCCATTTATTCTCACACTGCAGACATAAATCCATATACTCTCGCACCAGCTCGCGCCAGTGCACCAAGCCGCCCTGACCACCCGTGCGGAAACAAGATGAATTGGCCTCCGCGCTCGTCGCGATCATCGCGCCATCGACACCATACTCCTTCATCAGCTTGAGCGCGTGGTCGCGCGATTCGACATCGCCATTCATCAGAATTGCAACCCCCGCATTCCGACATATAGATGCAATCATGGGTAATTGGTCGCGGATGGCGCGCTCGCGCGGGCGCATAGGTGTCGTGCGGCAGTGGACGGTTAATCCCGTTATGCCTGTTGCGCAGAGGCGGGTGACGAGATCGCGTGTCCGTTCCGGGTCAGAGAGTAGACGGATCTTCACTGAGATGCTGATTTGGTGGGGTGCACCTACTTCTGTGACGAGGGCGGTAAGGATTGATACGAGCAGGTCGGGCTTTTGGAGGAGGGCGGCGCCCATGCCGCCGCTTGTGCTGAAGGGTTTGGGACATCCTGCATTCACGTCTATGCCTGCAACGTCTGGAGCAATGATTTTGGCCGCTTCGACAGCGAGGATGGGGGAGGCGGTGCCGATTTGGAAGATTAATTTGCCGCGTTCGCGGTGTGGGTCGAGGCGGTAGATTATGGATTCTTTGGGCAGGGGCTGGTTTGGTTTGGTTTGGTTTTGGCGGCCGCCGTTGGAGGGGAGGCGAGTGAATTCGATCATTGAGGTGCGCGGATTTATTTGGCGGGTGCAGCCGATTAGGGCTCTGTCGACTGTTTCGGGGCCCCAGACGAGATCGGCACCGTATTTGAGGGCGAGAAGGCGGGAAGGGAGTTCGCCTGAGCGGACCATGGGAGCGAGAACAATTTTGCCGCGATAGTCGACGCCATTTTTGGGGATGGGGACCCGGGGGGGGGAGGAGGGGCTGGTGGCAGGGGAGGGAGGGGAAGGTGGTGTTTTTGCGATTGAGCCCATGATTAGTTGTAGAAATTTTTTGAACATGGCATTGTCGGCGGATATGAAAGAGAAGGCTCCAGTGAGGGTGTAGGAGAGAGTGTGTTTTATGCTGATCCCAGAAAGGAGGAAAAGAAAGCGGAGGATTGTTCGATATCAGATGTTGCCGTTGTTAGACTTCGAAAGTGAAAACGTTGCGAGGGAGAGCCGAAACAAGGCAAATTTGTATCCTAATCACGTGGTGATAAGATTATCTATCACGTGGCATTCTATTTCTTCCCCCGGAAGACTGGAGTAAATTTAATCGAGCATCCGAAATTCCACGTGTAAAACACAATTATATTAATGGCACGGTGATTTATCCCAGTGGGTCAAGATATCCAAATGGCTTTATGACAGAGTATCCAGGTAGCATTGGTTATTGTGGCTCTCTCTCACCCCAAATTGGCGAGATCCGACTTGCCAAATCTCGTAGACGTGTCCCGGTACCGTCCCTGCGTTTGAAAATTCGATATTTGATGTCTGATATACATTGAGTTGTCTAAACCTGGGAAATATATTTGAAATGCTTTTGAAATATCTTCCATTGAAATCTCATCAGTGTTGATGTCGAATTGGAGAGCCACTGTAAGAATTGATTGATAAGTTCCAGCCTTTATCCCGACATTTCCACCTTACTAAAATTAACTCACCAGATAGTTATAAGAATAGTGCACACCTGGCCTTACAATCAAGTAAGTAACTCTGTAGTGGATTAACTAGTGGGGGTAATTGTCAATCCCGATCAACGGCTGCAGGGCTTTCATCCCAGGCACTACACAATTTTCTCTAACGGAGAGCTATTTTTAGAGCTATTTTTGTAGTTATTGGTTGCAAGGCAAACTGTAGCAGTAAGAAGCATTGAATAACTAGCAATATCAGCAGTCTTCGGTCACTGTCTAAATAACAAAGGAGTAAATATAGAAATAAAATAAGATAAAACAAAAAAATGAGACCCTAGACCCTCAATAGTTTTTCTCCCGGCAAGCTTCAACACCCTCGGAACAATTCCCCACAGCGCATCATTGAACGGCTCTCTCTCTGCAATTAGAGCAACCAGCACCAGTAAGTATTTAACTCCGTTCCCGAAAAGCCCGTACCACCCAGCCAAAAAAAAATAAAAATAAAAATAAAAATAAAAATAAAGAATAATATAACCAACGGAAAAATTTAATCTGAGTCAACCAAACCCAGATTACTGTGTTTTCTCTTCCCCTCTCTTTCAAATATCCCCCTTTTTTTTTTCCCGAGTCTCTCGCCAACACCCAACAGCCATTCAAACCAAGAAATCTTCTTGCCGCCTTGCCACATGTCCACAGTTCTGGCGCAAACAGTCCTGCTCCGACCGTTTTCACTCAGCCAATTAATCTCTCCCGTAGCCCGATCCCGCTGCCTGAGGCCATTATCCACAACTAGAAACCTGCAGAGCGTGCAGTGTGCATCATCAGAGGCAGAATCTGCTGTTGTCTTTGTGGGTGCCGGTCGTCCTCGATCTTGTTTGGTTCCGCCATCATCTACTAAGCTGGCTCCCCCCAAAAGCAACCCAAACCCCCTCTCTTTTCCCCATTTCCCCCCTTCTTCCGTTTCCCTTTCCTCCGCTTCTTCCTCCTCTGCATCTAATTCTTCACTTTTTTATTCATCGTCCTCATTTCCTTCTTCCTCTTTTTCTTCATCATCTTCTTTCCTCTCCTCCTCCCCCCATAATACCCAATTAATACCTTCCCACCGCCATTCTTCGCCTGTGAATCGTGCCGCTCTCCTGTCCAGACACTTCTCGTCGGCCTCCGCTGCCAACGACAACACCGACAGCAGTATGTCATACGCGAAATCCCCCTCCGAATATACCGTCCGCAAGGTCGGCCAGCCACAAACCCTCGATTTCCGTGCCTATATCGAAAAGGATGGCCAGCCCGTGTCGCCCCTTCATGATATCCCGCTCTATGCCAATGAGCAGCAGACCATCCTGAATATGGTTGTTGAGATCCCTCGCTGGACAAATGCTAAGTTAGAGGTATGCGCGTATGCTGTGTGTTGTATTTTTTTTTTTTTTTTTTGAAGTTCGGTTGGCGCGGCTGGATTGAGTTTGATTTTTTCATTCGTGGTTGGGGCGTTGCTTGTTGTTTTTGGGTGGAGAGGAAGGGGGGCGTTAAAGTTGAAGATATACATCTGGGAAAACAAAAATCAAAATAACAATGACTGACGACTACCCCTCTGCCTATTGCACTTAATAGATCTCCAAGGAGGAATTCCTCAACCCAATCAAGCAGGATGTGAAGAAAGGCAAGCTACGCTATGTCCGCAACTGTTTCCCCCACAAGGGCTACCTCTGGAACTACGGAGCCTTCCCTCGCGTGAGTATTTTACCCATTCTCTGTATAACCTAGATGACAATCCCTAAATACTTGAACCGATAATCCCAATCTACAGACCTGGGAAGACCCCAACGTTGTTCACCCAGAAACCAAAGCAAAAGGTGACAATGACCCGCTTGACGTCTGCGAAATCGGCGAGCTGGTTGGATACACTGGCCAGGTCAAGCAGGTCAAAGTCCTC